TTGTTTTAGGGGCTAGAAAGATGGCTCAGTGGTTAAGAGTACTGGCGGCTTTCTCAGAGGCCCCGGATTTAAATCCCAGCACCCACATAACCCTCATGCCTTTCTGTAACACTAGTTCTAAAAGGATTTGATGCCTTCACCTGGCCCCCACAGGCCAGGTGTACAAACATACATGCAGGCTAAACACCCATACACAAAATAAATAAATAATCTTTAAACCACATTTACAAAAAAAAAAAAAAAAAAAAAGGAAGAGCAAGGCGAACAGGGTGAGATGGGTGGAAAGGTTGCAACAGCTTCCTGGACGTCCTGCAGATGCAAAGATTCATGCGTCTGCATCCTGCCATTCCCAGAACCAGCGCCAGAGACACCCCCAAAGTCTAGGGAGTTGAGGCTGAAGAAAACGGATAGACTGAGGCTCAGTTAGACATTAGGGTGCAGTTATGTTCCGACAGGGTGAAGTGAAATCCTTCCGGGGCAAACGGAGGCACAGAGCTTTCTGAAGTAGAAGTAATAAACCCGTAGAAGCTCTGCCCCTCCCCGCCCCCACCTGGCTGAAACTCAGACGGGAGGATGTATCTGACAGCATGAATCCCTAGTTTCAATCTGCAGTACCACACAGACCGGGTGTGGTGGCAGAACCTTTAATCCCAGTCTAAGGAGGCTGACAGATCTGTCTGTTCCACAACAGTGAGTTCCAGGCCAGCCGAGGTCACGTAGTGAGACCCTATCGCCAAGAAGATTTTTTTTAATGTTGTGTCTGTGTGTGTTGTGTGAGCACGTGAGCATATGTGATCCCAGAGGCCAGAGGCAAAGGACTCCCCTGTTACAGATGGCTGTATGACACCTCATATGGGTGCTGAGAACCCAAGTCAAGTCTTCAGCAAGTGTGATGCACGCTTTTGACCACTGAGCCATCTCTCAAGTCCCAGAAGCAAGTCTTCACAACAACAGTTTAGAGGGGGTGGAGAGGTTTAAACAGACGCTTATTTTATTAAAGACGGGTGGTGGGAAGTGAGGACCTGTCTTGTTAGAGCGGGGAATCGCCACAGTTTAAAGACCCATTCCCATTGGGCTGGAGATGAACAGGAAAGAGAAATGCCTGGAAAGGTTGTGGGGGGAGGGGGAGCAAAGCGAGAGCTATGGTCCTTGGTAGAGAACGCTGGAAGAATTTTCCTCAGAACAGACGAGGTTTGAAGTCACTGCAGCTTGGTCAGATCCCTGTGGTTCCTTGAGCTGGTGACAAGTTCTGTAATTGCTCTGACTTTGTTGGTTTTTTTTTTTTCCTCCACAAACCTATTTGTGAAAGTCCTAGAGAACGGCCTTAACCTTATCCTTATCTCTGTCGCCAGAAATATGATAACACGGCGGATCGAGAAAAATTATTTTTTTTCCCTCCCGGACTTCACAAGCCTCTTGGCACAAGTTCAGTCCTGAAATGGTTAAAACATCGGCACATTTCACTGGTCTTGAGTTACTCATAAACATTGGGCCAAGCAATTTCACTCAATCGCACATATTAACTTCTTAAGTTCTTCTCTCTGAGGATGTGGACTGTTATTTTATGCCAAAAGTCCTGTAATTAAGTTTGACATAAGCGCATGGATTAAATA